CATGTCTTTCCGTGCCACGTGCACGATATTATAAGATTATACGTAGTATATAGACTGCCTCGGGTTCTCCTGCACACTTTCACTTACAGCGGCGATGTTCTCGGCCGATCTGGCGTTCTTTTGACGTACGGGTGTTGGCTGATCGTTTACCGAACCGGTCGTCTCGAATTTGGCCACCAAACGTTGGAGAGTCGACTTTGAAGGGCCACCGCGTCTGCCGTAAAGTGGGCGCAACGCGCGCAACGTTTGCACTAACGAACACTCATTTTGATAATAAAGTTTTATCATTTGGACATGCTGCTCAATCGTGTAACTTGTCATGGTGATTTGGCATCAGTGACTGAATAATAAACAACAGATTAGACAGACGCCGCCAAAACAACATGGCCGCCACAGGCTGCCAACATCGACCCGCACCAATTGAGAAACCCTGTAGAAGTTGTCGTGTAGAAGTTACGTCGCTCCTGCGTGATCGTTCTGAGGTAGGATCGCGGCAGGATTGCGGTCAAAGGCGAGTTCCACGCAGGACCTGCGTAAAATAACCTTTTCGTTCGCGCTTTTTTCGCGGTTTTCGCTAAGAAACGAGCTGATCAGCGCGTGCCGTGACTCAGTCGACTCCGTGTTTTTTAGTGAGCCTCACATACACTACAAACCAGAGCCATTTTCACACATGTACTACCACTTTTGCATAGAGATGCTTCCTCCACGCGTTGCACTTTCTCGTTGCTTGCGAGATTTGTCGTTTTGCATTTTTTGTGTGTGTTGTTTCGCGTGTGACATGGCGATTTCGAGGTCGCCCGTCACAAGAGGCGGAGGGCCTCCGAGGGGGTCCTCCGGCTGTCGCGCTCGGCCGCAATCGTGAGGCGAGCTGCATAATTCCGAGAAATAATCGCGGATATATTTTGGTGGCGAGCGATCTCGTACCGACGAGTGTGAGATTGCTGTTTTTTTTGGTGATACTCCCGCATCCCTAGAAGTATGTGCCCCTTCGCTGCGGGTAGCCTCCGACCAGCAGGAGCGGCGGACCAGAGAAGGGAGACCGAGGGGAAAGGAGAAAGGCTTCGAGGAGCCGCCGCGAGCACTAAGAGATCGCAGGTGATGTCATTGGCCGCTTCTAATTTTGTTTCCGAACAATTGTACCGTTGATGTCGCACCGCTGTCGCTGTATTTTTGTGTATTGTCGTAGCCCACAAAACAAACCGGGGCATGACATCTGATAGCGAGGAACTTCGATCACGCAGAAGATGCTCGGAAAAAGAAAGAAGGATTCTGAGCAACATCTCGCCATCGCGTGATCAAGGAGAAAAAAATTGGAGCGGAGAAAGATCCACCGGGGCCACGTATCTTCGGTCGAGGTGAACGAAGATCACTCTTGGCGAAGCCGTGGCGAAAAAGCGATCGGAGCGGGTGACGAAACCGAAATCAAGCTATTGCAGTTATCGAATTAGAGTACCGTTGTTATTGGTGTCGCGACGACTAGCTATCGGGAGACAGTGTACCGTGCGCGTGCGGATCCCGGAGAGAGAGAGAGCTATCGAAAGAGCGCCGGAAGCGAGGAGAGGAGCGAGCGAAGCGGACGAGCGGAGGAACGACTGTCCGGAAGGAGGCTGCCGTCAGTGGGTGAAAATTGTAAGAGTGTCACTCTGTACGACTCTGTTTGTTCGTGCGAACCGTTTGCGCGGTGGGACTAGGCACCGGCTGTCGGACTTGGTGCGAAAATTTAGATTGTAGAGCGGTCACCGAAGCCGGCTGTCGGTCTTTCCGCGGAACGCGGGGAGCAGAGCGTTTCTCTCTCTCAACGAGCGGGGACTTATCGCTATCGGAATCGCGGGTCACGGGTCGCGCGGACCTATCGAGATCGCTGTCGCTTCTACGTCAGGAGTCAGAAGAATTGTATTACCGATCAACTTAACAAAAATACACGCGGATTATTACTTGTTCTACATTTTGCATGTTAATTAATTTAAGCACCCGCCGAGTTCCCCTCCTAATCCCCACAAGAGACCCACCCCAACTCCGACTTAAAAGTGCAGGAGCTGTCGAGTTCGTAGGCTATCGCGTCGACTCGCCGCCGCCTAGTTAGTGTTGGTGGGCACGATATTCGTGCCTGGCGCCCAACATTCTTTCGTGAAAATTTTTGGAGCATAGGCGGAGGGCGACGGACAGATCGTTTCGACTTTGCCCGCTTCCTATTCGCAAGGAGCGGTCGCACGCGTTTCCTCTTTTTTCTGTATTTTCTTTAATACAGTTTGTTAAATAAACTCTAGTTGAATCGCTTCTTGGTGCCTTATGCTCTTCTATCGAACGATTCGGTCATTCCGCTCGCAAGTCAATCAAACAATATATTTACCCACACAGCACTACAATATTGCAGCAATATTATAATATCGTAGCAATATTACAAAATCACAAGATTACTACGAGGGCGGTCCGATAAGTACTTAGCCTCACCGCCCGACGGCGCCACTATCGCAAGAGAAATTTACTATCGTGTAGTACATTCTCGTAGACGGCTACTGTCGAAATTTCAGCCGAATCGGACTCGTAGTTTTGTTTTGACCGCGTGTGGAAGCGGGCGTGTCCGCGGATTTTAGAAAAATGGAGAAAGAGCAATATTGGTCGGTGATTCGATTCTTGTTTTTGGAAGGGAAATCGCGCAGCGAAATCAAAGAGCGTTTGGATGCTGTGTACGGTGACTCTTCTCCTTCGATGGCGACCGTCAAAAATTGGTTTAACGAGTTTCAACGTGGTCGCACGTCGGTTTTTGATGAGCCACGCCCAGACGCCCCGAAAACGGTTACCACGGAGGATAACATGACAAAAATCCACGATCTCGTATTGGCAGACCGCCGATTGAAGGTGCGCGAGATAGTTGAGACAGTAGGCATCTCAAAAGACCGCGTGGGTCATATCCTGCATGAAATTTTGGGCATGAGAAAGCTGTTGGCGCGATGGGTGCCGCGTTTGCTCACTGCGGACAACAAGCGCAACCGTAAGACCACTTCAGAGCAGTGTTTGACGCTGTTTAAGCGCAATCCGAAGGAATTTCTGCGTTTCGTGACTGTCGACGAAACATGGATCCACTGGTACACACCAGAGACCAAGGAACAGTCGAAACAGTGGACTTCACTCGGCGAACGTGCTCCGAAGAAGGCGAAGACTGTCCTATTGGCCGGAAAGGTGATGGCCACCGTTTTCTGGGATTCACAAGGTGTGATCTACATCGACTACCTGGAGAAGGGCAAAACGGTCACAGAGCTGTACTATGCCGAATTATTGGGCCGATTCGACGCCGAATTGCAGAAAAAACGGCCCCATTTGGCGAAGAAAAAAGTGCTCTTCCACCATGACAACGCACCGGCTCACACCTCCGCCCTCGCCACGGTCAAATTGGTCGAATTGGGCTACGAACTGCTGCCCCATCCACCGTATTCTCCAGATTTGGCCCCGTGCGACTTCTTTTTGTTTCCAAACTTGAAAAAGTCACTCGCCGGGCAGAAATTTGAGTCGAATGAGGAGGTCATCGCCGTCACGGAGGCCTACTTTGCAGACCTCGAGAAAACGTATTTTTCAGACGGGTTAAAGAAGTTGGAGTATCGCTGGGTCAAGTGTAAACATCGAGCTAAAAGGAGACTATGTTGAGAAATAAATCGCCACTTTTCCAAAATTTTCGTTTTTCTTTTGTAGGCTAAGTACTTATCGGACCACCCTCGTATATAATATTCCAGCAATATTATCACAATATTACAGAGTGATATCAGATTACAACATCACTGGAATATTACTGCAATATTACAATGTGACTATCGTATGGCAACATAGTGACAATATTACAACAATATTGCGAGATGATAAATCTCATTGCAATATCACAGGAATATTGCCGCTATATTCCATGTAGACCGCTACGTAATATTTCTGAATATCGCAGTAACCCCTACAGCACGAAATATTGCTGAAATATTGCAGAAATATTACTTGCATAAGATTAAAATATTGCAAGAAATATGTCAATATTTCAGCAATATTGTTATGTCCGCTTTTTTTAATATTTAGCAATATTTCTGTAATATTTTTGAAATATTTTAAAAAATATTGTAGAAATATTTGTGAAATGTTACTATAATATTCAAAGAATGCTATATAAGGGTTACATATTCAGCGTATTTTACCAACTGAGTAGTAAGCTAATTAATTGTTAAAACATTTATATGTGCTTATTTTAAAAGAAAAACATGATTTATAACTATATAAGTTAGTTTTCCACTCATTGTCAGTTGTTGAAATACACTGAATATAAATATTATAATCAACGTATTTCACGACGTGAATGGTAAGCTAACTTATAGTTAGATCATACGACTTATTTTTTTTTAAATAAGTAAAGACACATGTTTGAACTATTAATTAGTTTACCAATCAGTTGGTAAAATCCGCCCATAACAATATTTATAATTATTACTGCACAAGATGAAGTATTTGTCTAAATATTTATTAAAATTCTTATAAGAAACTTAATATATGTAATTGTATTGTTATATATATGTTTAGTTATATATATGTATATATATGTGTGTAAGAGTAACTCATGATACGGGTGTCCCACAACATCGACACACGGATCCGTTTAGGGCGTGGAACAGATTGAGTGAATAAATAAGTCCAATACTGTTTGACCATATGTTGTAACTGTTAACTTATGTTGCAAGAAAATGACCAATCGCAGTCGATTATTCTTGTTTTAGGCCTAACGAAAATATATTAATCAAAATATTAGACTGTCAACTTAAAAACGGGCTCTACCAACGAATTTCCCAAAACTATCACTCACTCTCACTCTCTCTCTCTCTCTCTCTCTCTCTCTCTCTCTCTCTCTCTCTCTCTCTCTCTCTCTCTTTCTCTCTCTCTCTCTCTCTCTCTCTCTCTCTCTCTCTTTCTGTGCCCCACCCTCCCTTAATAAAAGTATAAAAATATAACAGCAAATATAAAAGTATAGAATATTAGAGCATGTCTTCATCGTCATCGTAAGGGTGTGCTACTGGATTGTTTTCTGCATTCGTTGCCTCTTGGTTGTTTCGTTGTCTCCTATCTTCTGTACGTTTGAAGCGTGGTGTAGCTTGAGCAAACCATATTGAGGCAGCTTCTGCTATTTGCTTATCAGTGCATTGTGTTAGACACATTACGTGTACAGTTTCTAAAATAAAACAGAAAAATTTTTTTTAAATATACCCTTTTTTATAACCTTGTATTTTGTGCATTTTAGGGCATTCACAATAAATAAAAATATATTTATTATTATTGTTATTGATATAGTTGTGCGCCGACAAAATACTTACTTATAATTAATTTTGATGTCAACAGTTTATTAAAAGCTTTTTCCCCTTTTTTTCCTTGCCAACTATATTTTATGGCAAGTACATCTTCAATTAATTTGCTAAGAATTGCATTCGTAGCTGACATTAATGTGTTTCCACCAATAATTTTCAAAGAGGAAGTCTACAAAGTAAGATTATTAAATAAAAAAAAAATACTTAGGATGAGAACTCAATGAAAGAGAACATAGTATGAAAAAGACAATTAGCATGTACATGTTGTAAAATAGTTGCACTGAAACTATAACAGAAGAAGAAACCCAAATAGAAATTATTCGTCAATGGACAAGTATTTTCTCGCTGAGAAAACGTGTTTTTTTGTTTTTTAATCAGAATAGGAAACTATTATCAATTACTTTACTACTATTGTTTAATTAACTCAAAATCTTAATATTTTGATTATTTTGAGTATCCATGTAATTTCATATTTCTATTAAAGTATTTCAGTCTGAAAATATTTTATACAAGAACTAATAATGTTAATACACAGAGTGTCTGAAAAATTTTAGATCAGCCAATTTGTGCAGGTAGAACAAATGAAATTGAAAAAGAAGTCATAAAATTTTCCAAAAATTGCAATATAGTTGTATTATTGCTATGTAGTTATATTAACTTATGTATTATATGTAGTTATATTAACTTATTAATTAAAACGTTTGGGGAATGAGTGCACGGGAAGTTGTAGGCCGGACTCGATAGAAGTATAGCAATAAAAAGATATAAGCGGCAATCAGCTAGTTGTAATCTTTAATTGTTACGAATATCCATTTGTCTTTATATTGTCGTTATACTTCTATCGAGTCCGGCCTACAGCTTCCTGTGCGTTTATTCGCCTAAACGTTTTAAGTAATAAGTTAATAATATTGCGATTTTTCGAAAGTTTTATGACTTTTTTCCAATTTCATCTGTTCTATCTGCACAAATTGGTTGGTCCACAATTTTTCAAACACAGTGTATTATATATATTTCTATTAAATGTTATAAATATTATTACAAAAAAAATAAGTACCCACATATTTTGCTATGCTATGCATTGTGATGCAGTTGATAAGGTGCCTCCCATAATTGTCGAAGTGACAGTCGACTGTTAAATATTCAATTAATTATTTTTATTATTAATTATCGTTTCTTAACTTACCATTTTCTTGAAAAATTTGGGATTTTGTAATTTTTAATAATTCTTCTTCAGTTTGTACAAGAATTGCAGAGTCTTCTTCGTTATTTTCTTCGTTTTCTTTATTTTCTTTATTTTCAAGTTTACTTACTCGATCTCCTATATTTTTAGTTCTTCTTAATAAGGTCACCATACTTTTAACCATAAATTTCTTGTAATCTGAAAAAATTGTGCTCTCTTAATATCTTTTTTTGTTAAAAATATGTACGCTCACGCGATGTGATTTTATATAACAAATGTTATCAAAGGGAGATATATATCATCAATAATATTACCCTCAGTTAATATTTCTTCTATAGGAGAATCAGAACGTCTGGAATGATGAAATGATGGTGGCTATGTTCCAATTGATGTAGTTGGTGTATTATATACAGTTTTATCATCTGCAATTATTTATAATTGAGTTATTTTATAGATGAATTATAAGCAGACTAGCGACGTTACTTACCGCTTACCGCTGGGACTCCATTCTGTACACGTCTACCGACAACTATCGGTATCATTTACGGCGTTGTGCAGTTTTTTGTTATACGAAAAAGCTGTGCAATGCCGTTAACATACCGATAATTGTCAGTAGATGTGTATATAACGCAGTGCAGAATCGAGCCCTATAAGTTCGATAAGCGAAGCAAACTTCGCAAGTCTAGTTCTAAGTCATACAATGTAAAGTTATAATAATATTATATATGATAAGAGTAACAAAATATAAAAGTTTACCTATTTGTACATTGTTTTGTTTATTGTAAGTTCCTGGTGTCACATTCATGTGCGATGTGTTCGAATTATTATGTAATTGCGATAAAAGTGTTGGAGACGGTTTGGGCAGCGACGGCAATTGCAATAAATTGTTAGTTTTATTAGATATTTTGCCTTTGCTCTTCTTTTCATGCTGGCATATATTTTTGGAAGCCTTAAAGCAAGGACGCTCCATACAATCTTCACTTTCACTTGAAGATCCACTGCTATTAATAATTTTCCGAGCATTATCTCTCCTGAGTTTCTTTTTTTGCCACGTCCATTCTTCTTCCGAAAAATCTTGTGAATCAATGACAGTTGATGTATCCATTGCTTCCATCAATTTCTCCTGTGCTCGTTCCCAAATATCCAAGGAAGGAAAAAAATAAACATTCTTTTAGAATTTATATAGCTCATTACTGATAACGTCCGTATGTCCTAAGAATGTCTTCAAGATGTCTTTTAGAAATTTTATACTGCTTGGGCTGCGTCTTATATGAAATGGATATTAAGACCCGTATTCTATAAAACCCTGTTTTAAGAAACAGGATTTTAAAAGTCTTCGTTAAAAGTGCTTCTAAAAGAGACTTAGGAGCCGCCTGATTGGCTGAGAAGACACATTTAAAGCACTTTTATCGATAAAAGAAGATTCAGAATATGGACTGAAGTGTAAGTGTGAGCAAAACGAACAAACCTAATCTTGTATTGTTAATTTCATAAGAGAATAATATTTTTATGAAATACATTTAAACTTACCTGCTGAGCCAAAGAATCTATTGATTTTACAAATTTCCCACTTACTACTGTCTGAAGGGACTACTGCGTTTGTAAGTAATTTATTCAAGGTATATTGGGATTTAATATGGTTTGGCCAAATACTTTCATTTTGTGATCCATTAATCCAGCAAGACGGAACAATTTGTAACCCGTCAGGAAACTCAATAACACTAAACTTTTTTAGTATTTTAGACATAATTAGATGATGCCACAAATATATATCCAGCTTTTGTATTGTGATATTACGTGGTAAATCGGATCTGTCGTCTTCATGTGTATATCACTTCCAGCACATGACGTGCAAAATGATAGTCAATTGTTTTTACGCGCGAAGGCAAGTAATTTGTTCTCTTAGCTGCTCTGATTGCACTAGTGCAGGTAATATCCTTGTTAGCGTGCGTTCGGAAACATCACCCGGGTACTCTCCATCTCGTTTCATCTCGCTCTCGTATCTCTCTCATTCTAAAGCAACGGGTGCACCCGGGTGCACCCGAGTGACGTTTCCGAACGCATTCCTAATGGCGGACGTGACCTAACTCTTACTACAGGAACTCTACGGAGAGTGCGCTACCGGTTCCTGCTAATGGTGACTTAGATACATATTGAGATCGTGTCATCGTATGTGGCCACGCGAGGGTTGCGAGTAATATATTTGAAAAAACGTGTAGTGGCTTTGCTATAACATATAAGATTCGTTTATAATCAATCAGTGGCGTGAGGGCATTAGTCATCTGCCGTGACGTCGTCATACGACTTCACCTCATTGACACACATAATACCAGTACCAGAGCGTGAAGTCTGGTGTCAAGTTAACGCGAGCCGAAATAAACTCGGACGAGTTAAATGATACGCAGAGACAACAGATTTGTATAAATAGATTGAGCGTTTCCGCTGGAAGCTACGGATATCTGTTTGGAGAATATCGCAAGCTTCGTGAATCTCGAGTTGTAATGACGAAATGACGAACAGACGTATGAATTCTTTTCCTATATTGCGTGACGAGTATATAGTAAAAGTTCATCAAAATGACGATAGCAGATGAATATATATATATATACTGCGTTGTTTTCTTTTGCTTTTTAGTTAAATAGCAAGGATGCTACCCAATCAGCACACAATATTTTTTAAACGTTTTTTAAATATTTATTTTTCATTATTTTTACAATATTACATTTCATTGTACAAATAATATTTATTCAATGTTTATTAAACATTTATTTTACATTAATTAATCGTTTGCAATAACTATTTAAAAAAATATCTTTTCAAAATTAATTTAATATTTATTTTACATTAATTAATTATTTTATTAAAAGAAATAAATGATTAAATCAATTTATTTAAAATAATGGCTGATAAAAATGAAAGTATCATTGTACGTCATTACTTACGCGTCATAAATGCAAACAATTCTAAAATGATTATTATTTGTGCAATAAATATTTGTGAGAAATTTTATATGCAAATTTCTCGTGAATGCTTGAGCTGAAAGTTCAGCTCCTGCATATACAGGACATGACATGCGGTATTCAACTGTGATTGGTCCATTCCTATTCCTATTCCTGTACACCTGGGTGGCGATCACGTAAATAACGGACTACATAGAAAGGTTTTCATAAAATAAAGGGCCTCCATAAAATAGCCGTTCCCCTATTTCTTGCTCCATCAGGACACACCCTAAAGTTTGCGACATCATGTGGAGTCGGCTTTATATGAACGACCTAACCTGACCTAACCGAACGTACCGTTGAATGTGCATGCGCGCGAAACGACTCACTGCCATTACTATTTAGCCTTTGTCTAGCGTATATTTGGTATGGTACGAAGATACATATTTCGAAACGAAAAGTAAGTAATATTAATTTATCTTACATTGCAATATATACAAATATCCTACCTTAAATGTTCTATAAATACTTAAGATATATATGTAATTTACAGGAAGAGAGGATTTATTAGCCTGCAGGTAACGTATGCATTTACCTGTACATCGATATAATTACATATCCTGCTGCAAATGTTCTACAGGTACGTAGGAATTATATATCAATTCGCTATAAGAAGATAGGTATTTGACACACACATGTCTACGTATCTCTATCAATTTTATATAAGGATTTACAGATAACCTATAGGTAAATTGTACGTTATACATGCGTAACCTACACATTTATTTAAAGATTATCTGTAGAAAATCCTTGTATAAAAAATTGATAGATACGTAGATTTGTGTGTCAAATATTGAGAGATGATTTATAGGCAATCAATTAAGATAACGTATACAGATAATCTACACATTTACTCTGTGACGTGGCAGCCGGGAAGGCGCTCATCCCAGTGCGAACCCTCGGTCCTTACGCGAGGTTTGCGGGGGGAGCGGACAGTACATCGCGCGAGAATTGCGGGGGGGGAGCCGCATTGCGCCCCCGTATTAATTAGTGTTAGTAATAGGAGCGCGCAGGTGGAACGGTCCCGCGTCCCCGAGCTCTGTGCCCCTGGACCTCCTGTGCCGCCCATCAGGACCGGAGGGACCAGAGGAAGGAAGAGGACGACACCCCTCAACAAGACCGCCACCTCAGGTGAATGCTCCCCCTTATGAGTAATATTACCGATTCCCGTATCGCCTTAAGAGATTCTCGCTGCCATTCCCGTGTCCCCAGGCCTGCAGGAAAAACATTTTTTAAAAATATTTTTAAAATATTTGAAAAACCTTTAAAAAACATTTTTTAAACGTTAAAATAATGAAATAAGTTCCCTTTTTTAATTGAAAAAAATGTTTTTTTAGCGCTTATAAAAATATTATTTTAACGTTTAATAAATGTTTGTTATAACATCTAAATAAATGTTTCCATTGAAAGTTTTTAATTTTTAAAAATTTATTATGTTTGACAAATATTTTTTATACAATATTTTATACATATTGTACATTTGTACAAAAATTACATAAAATAAAATAAGTAATTGCAGTTCAAAATAAACCAAAGCCGAGAACCGAACATTCATATAGGAATTATAGTAATACATACAGTATTTCATATGCAGGGTGATTGAAACAACCCTAGGTCCTTAATTGAAAAGACGTGACTAGATTCTGAGACGATTATTCCTTTTACAAAACTTCATCCGAAATCTGGTTTTTGCATTACAAAAGGAAATAGTTTCCTTATCACGGGTTGAATACAGGAGGTAGGCAATGGCGGCGAAATTTACCACGTCAGACGTGGTCGCTTATATGTTAGGCGGCTGAATTGTCAGGTCCGACGGTGAGTTCCGCTGCCACTGCTTATCTTCTGTATTCAACCCGTGATAAGATAACTATTTCCTTTTACAACTCAAAAACTATATTTCGGATAATTTTGTAAAAGGAAAAATCGTCTCAGAATCTAGTCAGGATTATGTCTTTTCAAGGACCCAAGGTTGATTCAATCACCCTGTATATTATTACTCAATAGTTGAAATGTAATAATGATATATTAGCACTGAGAAAAAAATTACTAAATTTAAGCTGTTAGTTTGAATACAACCGTGAAATAATTTGTTTAAATTAAGCAAATATTTTCTAAAAGTACAAAAAGAAGTTTAATTTTAGAAAATAATTGTTAAACTTAAACAAGTAATTGTTTAATTTAAACAAATTATTTCACAGTTGTATTCAAAGTAACATTAGTTTAAATTTAGTAAATTTTTTTCTCAGCGCAGATTATCGCAATTCTATATTAGTCTTTAGAACATGTGGAAAATAAGGATATCATAAAGTAAATCTTAAGTAACAAAGTTTCCATCACGACAACGCCAGACCACACGTTTCGAAAAAGACGCTGCGCAAACTGAAGAGCCTGAAATGGGATGTCTTAACGCATCCACCGTATTCTCCTGATATCGCACCATCTGACTATCACTTGTTCCGGTCATTGCAAAATTATTTAAATGGAAAAAACTTTGACTCTTTGGAGGCCTTAAAAAACGGCGTCTCTTCGTTC